GAAACATGCTGCAAGTCTTCCAAGTCCTCCAGATCCAAGAGCAGCATCTTCTTCATACTCATATAATTCTTCAATAGAAGATCCAAAGAATTTAAGTGCATCAGTATATGGTGCTTCAAGATCCAAATTACAAATGGAATTCATTAAAGAACGTCCAATAAGATATTCAATAGACATATAATAAACTCGTTTAGTTTGAACATCAGTAAAATATGATTGTGTATCATTCCAAAATTCTAACATACGGTCCCTTAATGAATAAGCAGCAGCTTGATAAATAGCGTATGGTCTAAAGTCAAGTCTATTACATGCCAATGTATATTCTAAATGGTTTGCAATTTGTCTTTTGATAGTTTCGACGTCTTTAGACAAATACATAGAACAATAATCCCATAATTTTTTAAATTTATCATCTCCAAAATTGATAGGAATTCCATCTGCAGTAGTTCTTCCTGCCTTAAGTTTATTCATAGAAACTGATCGTCTAATTTGTGTGGTCATCACTTTCCTTGGTTTTTTTACTAGTTTTCTTTTTGAGTTCTTATTTTAGGGCAAATGCTTTATTTATAGTTAATCTTCTATTAGCTGATTTTCTTCATTCAAACCATAACGATATTTGAAAGTTCTCTTCGTTTTTTACTCCATTCTTCTTATTTCTTAATAACAAAATTATCCATTGTTCGTGTTTTAGGGTTATAAAGAGAAGACTAACAACACAAAACAAAAATCAATCAATTTTTCTTCTTATGCAATGGTTTCATTGGTTCAATATTCATTCCTTTTCTTATAACAACTTCAGGTTGTGTTAATTTGTTATGTGTTAATAATGATGTCCATTCTTTACCAATTGCAGTATTTAGATATTTTTTGTATTGAGTGACACTAGCAAACTCTTTTGGAACTTGTTCTAGAGTGTACTTAGAAAATTTGTTATCAAACCTTTGATTGAAAACAATTGTATTTTTACGTTTATGTGGTTTTTTTTCTTCTTTGCTTTTCTTTACTTTCTTTTCAATACCTTCTCCAACCCAATTACCCCATCCAGGAATTGATTTTTGATGTTCTTCCTCTTTTTGTTTTTTATTTTCTTCATCAATTTGTTCTATTTCATTCATTACATCATCTTCTGCAAAAGCAAGTCTTAAAATTTCTTTTTGATCTTCTTTAAACACACCTTCTTCTTCTTTATTATCTTCTTGTTTTTGAATTTCTAAGATTTGATTTTTATTTTCATTTCCTTTAAGTTCAATAACTTCCATTTTTATCCTTTCTTTATTTTCTTCTTCACTTTCTTCTTCCTTATCATTAATTTCAATTTGTATGTTATTTTCTTTCTTCTCTTCACTTTCTTCTTTTTCATTTTCTTTCTTCTCTTCACTTTCTTTTTCTTCATTTTCTTCATCTTCCTCACTCATTTCTTCATTGTCTTGTGCTTCTTTTTGTAATTCTTTTAACATTGCATCTAATCCTTTTTCTTTTAATTTTTTCTTGTTATTTACTTCTTGCTCAATATTAATACTAGCAATTTGATCTTCTTTTGTTTGTATTTTAATATCATCATCTTCCATATTAATATTTCCTGCTGTTTGATTAGTAGGTATGACATCATTATTCTCAACTAAAATACCATCTTTTTCTATATCTTCTTCCATTTGTTTATCTGCAAGAATATCTTTCATTTCTTCAATTTCTTTAGCTCTAGCTCTTTTCATAAATTTCATAGACATAATAGCATTGTTATCTAATGAAGGGTCAGTTAATTGTTTAATTCTATCTTGTGCCATTTTCTTTTCTAATTCAATTTCGTGTTCATTAACTTCTTTATCTTCATCTTCACTAACAACTTCTCCAAGCATTTGTCTAATATCTTTATCTAATTGAGGTCCATTAAAGAATTGTTTTTCATCAAAAATATTTTCTTTTTGGATTTTTTCTGCTAATTCTTTTCCGATTTTATCTTTCTCATTAATAGCTTGACGAACTTCATTAATTTTCATTAATCCTTTTTGTTTCATTTGTCTTGCCCAATTTGAATTTTTATGCCTTTGAGTAATTCGTTCTTGAAGTCGTTGAAATTCTTTTTTTCTTTCAAATTCTACTGCTAGTTCAGGGTCTTCTTCAATCATAAGTTCAATTTGTTTTTTCTTTTCTTTATCCTTTTCATGTTTTAAGATTCTATGATATTTCTTTGATTTGATTTTATTTTGTCTTCTTGCTTTAATCTCTTCATAAAACATAAGTCCTCTTAACTTTGCAAGTTCTTGAATTCTTTCTTTTTGTTCTTCAATACTCATCTTTTTAGAAACAAGTTTTTCATTTTCTTTAACTTCTTTTTCAATATTTAATGATTCAACAACTGAATCTATTTGATCTTTTAATGAGCTTTTAACTGAAATTTCTTCTATTGGAGTAGCTTCTTCATGTTTATATTGTGGGAAAACAACAGTATCTGCAACTTTATTTCTACGAATAATGTTTGAATATCGATTCATTTCTTGTGTTAATTGTTTCTTCCCAACCTCTTGTTCAATTTCTTGTTTCTCAAAGTCTTCTAATGCTTTTCCTATTTTTTTAATTTTACTTTGTTTTCCATAAACTGGATTTAAATCTTTTTGTGCTTTGGTTTGGATATGTCCATCTTCTAATGCTGACAACAAGTCATTCAGTTGAGGAGCATCACCATCCATTCTTTTCTTTTTATCAGAATTGCGATGTCTTAAAAAAGGGTTTTTAATTTAAAAAAAAAAA